CTAACCCATTTATCCATCTCTTTCACTGTCTTCCTCTCACCTTCCTCCCAGATGTCCTGCTGTAAAAAAAAGTCTAATGCAGTTTTGTCTGGCTGCATTCTCACTAGATAGCCAGATTTGGTAATAATATAACTTTTTATCTAGTGCTGGTATTAGTAACCTTGTCTCTTCTTGTATGGCGAGGTAATCGCACATGTGAAAAGATTCATTCACATACTTTTTACTTTAAAGAAAAAAACATCATTAAACAACTTACAAACTCAAGCACCAATTTTCATTAGATTTATTTACATCATTCATAAAATGGTTGGACATTTAAAAGTTTAATAGTGTGGGTAGTTTAAAAATAAAGACAAAATACTATTCATTTAAAGAAACTACCTATGAGACCGACTTCAAAAAAATACTGCTAAGCTACGAGATATTCCTGTTTTAAAAGAAAAAAATGTAAATGTATTACAATTAAAATGCAATATTAACAAATAAGAACCAAGAAAACCAAGTGGTAACAGATTTGTATAGGAGAATCTAGGCAGAGGATATTCTATAAATAAAGCTGACCAGAACGTAGAGTATAGCTATCTACTGACATTTATTTATCAGCTCACCAGACAAAATAGCTGTGGCTAACTTCTAAATTCTGTTACTACAAAACAAAATTATTAAAGACACAAGCAAGTATTTGCAGGCTGAGCAGAAAGAAACCTTGTATTGCAAAGTATGTGCATATTCGTTTTATAGATCTGTTTATTAAATGTAATCGTTTAGAATATAATTCAAACATATTTACAAAAATATATACAATAACATATTCTGGTAGGGAAACATACTGGACAGGACAGGCGGTGTTGAACTTGGGGATTTAGAACTGGTGCAGGCTAATGCAATTGTTACGGTCTGTGCAGGTTACGGTTGGTCTTGCTCGTGGCAGAAACAAATCCATCCCTTTGATGCAGATTGGAATCTCAGTCTCCTGAGTAAGAGCTGTATACACAGGCCGGTGTGAAAAGACATGAAAGACCTGACAGACTTGCTGTGCCTGCATTGATTAGTGGAAGAAGAAGCATAGACAGGGCAGACATGCTGAATGAGCTGCATTTCAGAGACCTTGAGACAAAGGAGTCAGTGATGATAAACTGCTATTTAGAAATGGGGGTTAAATGATAACAAGCATGTAGAAACCGGTGGTTTCTGCGTATGTAGGTACACCGAGATGAGATTTTACACTGGAGGACATAGCACGAATGGGTTTGACTGATGTGCTTTGATTTCATTACAGATAACAAGTAACAAGATGGTGTACAATGTGGTCGAGCCCATAAACCCTTCACTTGCAGAAAAAATGCAAAGAGATATTTTGATCCTGATAAAGGTTAGTATGAGATTCCTAAGAGGGGAAATAATTATTACTAATTGTTAAGTGACTAACTCTCAATGATCCTTTATACACAGTAAATGTGGCCATTGCGGATTCCAAATTGCTCTAGTATGCTTTGACTAAATGTGGAGAATAAGAGTTCAGCGTAAGCACTATAAGTGGATTAGAATGGACAAGGGGTAAATATTTGTGTTTAATGGGCCTGAGAGAGTAAAGAATTGTTTTGATGACTACAAGTTTTTCATAAAATTCCAGCTTAATTTAATGGAGAAAAAAAAAAGTTTAACATCTATATTTAAGATGGCTAAAAATGCATGTAGAAGGATATATATTATCTCTTGAGTGAGATTTAGACAGTGAAAGATTATTACACTGAGGCATGTAATTACATATTACATCATAATTACATCAACTGTTGTTAACTTGAAAGACAAACAGCATCTTTTCAACAAACAAAATACAAAATTTAACTATTATGCGAGTAAGACCGACCCACAGTAGACTACCCATTACATTGGTTTGTAGTGTCCCAATGCAATAGAGTTTGTGTAGCTGTTTAATTCTTATCTTTGAGATCTTAATCATACAGACTGTAATCCTGGAAGGGACAAATTATCTGGAGAAAAGAAACAACCTTTATGTTTATATAAAGATGTTTTTCTGTAAGCCTTTCAGTAATATGCTTAACTAGTGGTATCATATTTTTGAAACCAATTAAATAATAATATGGTATGGTTCCTGTCAGATGAGGCAGGGGTTTACAGGCATGATGGTCAACACAGGGAATCAAGGACAACCCGGAAACTTTTCTAAGCGGGAAAGTTGGCAGAAGGACTGAGTTTTCAGTGTACCATGATGAGAATCCCATTCTGGCTGAGCACCTGCCTGATGGTGATGTAACTGGGAGTGGTTTGGAGTTCTAGGAAAAAGGTGCTAGTACTCCCTATAAAGTGTTTAAACAGTGACGGTACTCACTATAAAGTGTTTAAACAGTGTTGGTACTCACTATAAAGTGTTTAAACAGTATCGGTACTCACTAGAAAATGTTTAAACAGTGTCGGTACTCACTAGAAAGTGTTTAAACAGTGTCGGTACTCACCGCAGTATCTTAAAAAAAAGGCGTCAGTACTTACCACAAATGTCTGTAATAATATTGTTGGAAAAATTACGCCTAAAAAGTGACAGTTCTAAGTACTATCAGAAAATATACCTGGATGAAATGATGATGATGATGATGACTATAAAAATAATAATCTTGACCAACGGCTCCCCACTAACTTCAGCTGCCACAGCCAATGGATTTCAGAATAAAGTGATTCTCTCTACTCTAACATTAAACTATTAAACATATTATTATTATTAACTCTTCAATCACACAGTCCAATCTGTTATCAGTGAGATGATAAAAGAAGAAGAGAAATCACACAGTTGCAGTCTTATCCACATAACAGTGCTTCCACACATTATGCCACCACCAAATAATAAACACAATGTTTAAAATGCATGACAATGTCCAGTTTAATCACCAGAGGGCTGCCCACATAGTAGGTTAAAATCTGTATTGTCTGGTAAGCCATTTGACTTGACTTTAGGCAAAGTTCAGTGGTAGTAGTCACATCTTATGTGCAATAAAAATAAAAATGTTGCTTGTAGCTGGTCCTACTCTGTAAGCTAAACCGCTAGCTAAAAATTAATTTAAAGTAGAAACTGTACATTGAAACTGTGCTCTGGTAAATTAAAATTAAAATGTATTTTTATGACTTGTATCTGCAGTTGCACTGCTTATGTGAATGCCACTCCACGCTTCTGTAGTCGACTAGCTCCCCTTTTTTCACAGTTGCCAACACCTTATGTTATTTATATGAAACCTAAAAACCGTATTGAGTATAAAACAGAAAATTAAGTGTTTTTAAACAAATCTTCAGCTATTAACACAAATTATTCAGTGAGTGTTTGATGTGTGTGAGTAAACAAATGAATATTTGCATAATGCATTTCTTGGTCATGAATCACATTCTAATCTGATTTGCACAGATATCCCACCACTCAACAATTAAGAATCTGTGATTCATTACCTGCAACATTATTACCATAATGGATGGAGAGCTAATGGCTGATTGTTCGATTCTACATTTAGGTCAGAATCTGGTTAAACTGACACTAGCACCCTAATTAACCTAGCCAAAATGAGAACTAGGAAATGTTTTCGGAAGTAAAGGTGATGTACATTGACATCATCATCTACCGGTTGCCGATTATTCTATTAAAATATGTAATTAGGATCACATCCCCAACTAAACCTCTTGAATGGAAAAGAGCCGTTTCCTTCCTGTGTCTATGAAAGAAGTATGGGTATTCTGCCACAGCTGAGTAGACAACATTACAGATCTTCTTCTTCTTTACATTTGCTAGCTGTAAACTCCAGCAGAAAGTTTCTTTGTTGGTCTACCTCTGAACTATGCTCGTGCTCCAATTCGAGTTTTGCATAAACGTGAGCTTTACAGATCTGGCATATCAGTGTTCAGACAGTGGGTTCCTCCCCTTTCAGGGCAGATGGCAGATGCACTGCGACTTTAAATGATATATAATTTCTATCTACATTGGCCAGACACTTGGTTGGGAACCAGTTTTTAAGATGACCTTGGAGAGGTGTAGATAAGTTTTGAGCAGTTGGAACTCTGGTCCTGGTGTACCACTTTTCTATCGCCATTATGCATCTATTAAATTGTGTCTGTTAAATTATTTCTTTAAAACCAAATGGTGTTTACAGACGAGATTATGAGCTCAGGATGAACTCTACTGCACCAGATTTTATGCTATATGGTTGAATTATCTCTCTTTGCAGAGTGGATGCTCTATATAAGAGCATCATAAAAAAAAGCATATAACTCTGTAGCTATTGCAATGACCCTTGAGATTCATCGAAATACCTGCACTTGTGAATCCAAGGAAGGGGTACGAAACTGAATACACCATCTTTAGAGCAGAGACCCCCAAACTATTTGTAGATAAAACTATACTGTAAACTCAAATCCTTACGAATGCATATTTATCAAATAGATGTGATTCACAATTCAAAATGTACATTAAAATTATTGTACATAATATTTGGAATTAATTTTTTTAATGTATATGTATGGCATATTTGTAATCTGTAAAATCTATTTTTTTTTTAAATATATAATTCAATTACTATTAAAGTAAACAGTATCACTGTCTTCTTCTGCATTTATCATCAGAAACTAAGAATAACCTGGTAAGTTTAAAATATTGTTGAAGCTACTCCTACACTACATGGTTTTTTATATGACTCATGTATTTACAAAGTGCATATATATGTACATATTGTTTCTTACATTTTTACATCTGAGGATACAAAATATGTTACACTAAATGCCAATTTTCAGCGCTGCTAAACATTTGTTTCTGTATAAATGAATTTTGCGCGTAATAAATTCCCAAATGTACCTTTAATGAATATTTTTTAAACAGTTCCTGAGTATATTTTATATTACTTTTGCTTACAAACATTTTTTTTTACAATGTAACCACAGAAACTAAATATTTAGATAAAATTAATATTGAACACATTAGAATTCACTTTACATGATCAGAGCTTGGGTCACAAAGCAGTTCTCTCAAATGCACACACAAAGCCAGGATTTATCTGGCCATTTTTGCGGTTTAAGCAGCCATCTTCAGGTGGGGTGACAATCAGCTGTACATCTGGAATGAAGCTAACTGGCATATTATTCATGGCCTTGATTTCCGGACACTCATATGGACCAGTGTCAGATGTGCCTTTCATTGAGTCATTGATATAACCTGAAAATAAAATAATGTAATATTTAGTATTGCATGTCAGAGAGTGGAACATTCATGACTATTTAGAAAACAGAAAAAACAATATTATAAGACTAAACAACAAATTGGGATATTTCAATAGAAGCAAAAATGTTTCATTAAATCACTAAATACAAATACTGGGGATTCAAAAATATCACAAGATGAAAGAGGCATGAGAGAAACTATCTCTTTCTTTCCCAAGTTGTTATTAAGTTTATTTTTCTTATCGCAGAAAGTTGAACTTAAAACACAAAACTAAAAAAGAAACCCCATGAGATGGAAGCAGTTAAAAACACATTTTAACTAAAACGCTTCGATTAATAGCGTTCAGTGACAGTACTGAGCAGAAATTGTATACAATTGCCACAGTAACCAAGAGTTGTACTCTGAGTGGGAAATTAATCCACTGAACTGTGACCATGAAGCTTACAGTGGGTGGCGGGGACAATGTAAACACGTAAGAAAAAGCTGGTTCGGCCACAGCCTTTCTTGACACAAACCACAACATCAGCAACCAGGGGAAAAGTAATAATTTCTTGGTGTCAGCTAGACTGCCGTTAGCCATGTTTTCGTTACACAGTGAGTATGAGTAATACATGACATCCAAAAGCTCCATTTCAGAAGATGACAAATGTCTTATGGAATCAAAATGTCACAAAGAAAATACAGTGTAATATGTGAAGCCTGTTCTGCTAAACGACAGGGAATGTTAGTATATGACCAAACACATTAAAAAGAGTGTGTAGAAAGGATATAAGGTTTCTGAAATGCATGCTGCAGATACCTTGATCAGCATGTGTGAACAACAGCAACTGCCTGGAAAATGCTAATAAAAGTAGCAAACTATATGAAACTATATGAAAGTGGCAGTTTTTACTATGGTCATGAAGTTGCAAAAGGGATGTAGGACAGAAGTACAAGACAGCACTTGCATTCACAGGAAAGATCGGCAGTATAAGAAACAGAGACAGACCAAGAGAACTGATGCTGGACTGTGATTTACATGCATGCCAAACTGTTCTGTACATCCAACAAGTCTGTTAACTCATGCAGAACCATGAATGCACATGAGTTAATTTATAACTAGTTTAACTGCCCTCTGATACAGAAGATTTAATCCTTTTCTGCACTTGAAAAAAATTTGCTCTCTTCTGTTAGAGAACTTACATAAGTCTGATAGTTCATTTTCTATTCTTAACATAAATCTATTAACTCCATGTAAAACACACAATGTCACATTACTTTATCATCTGACCTAAGGTGAAGCTACACACGAATATCACACAATGTCACATTACTTCATCATCTGACCTAAGGTGAAGCTACACACCAATATCACACAATGTCACATTACTTCATCATCCGACCTAAGGTGAAGCTACACCCTAACAACACAAATTATCACATTAGTAATCATCTAACCCAGGTGTGTGGGCAACTTTTTTGGTCTCTGGGCCAAATTTAGAAACAGCCTGGTCGTGGGATATATAGAAGAAAAAAACACACTATAAACATATCACCCAGATTCCCTTGTAACACTATATATTATGGGATACCAGGCTCTTTTGATCTTGAAACATCCCAAGCAGACAAATAGAATGGTGGTCATCTTATATTTTATTATCAAAGTCCACTGACAGACATTGTCTCATAACGTCTGAGTTTGTCTGCAACGTGTGTTTTGCTAGCGTGATCAGAGATTTGGTTATAATTGTTGAGGTTACCGTTTTTTTCTTTCATTAGATATTGACACTTGATTTGTTTTCTTTCATTAGATATTGACACTTGATTTTTTTTCTTTCATTAGATATTGACACTTGATTTTTTTTCTTTCATTAGATATTGACACTTGATTTTGTTTCTTTCTGCAGACAAAAGTGTTTTTTCCTGCTATTTCATGACCTCAAGGACTAGATTATTTAGTAATTGTACAACAGCCTTATATGCCAGTACAAATTGCTGGGGGGGGGGAGCTCCTGTTTGCCCACCCCTGCTCTAACCCAGTGTGAAGCTACACACCAACAACACACAGTATCAATTAGTAATAATTTAATCTAATGTGAAGCTACACACCAACAACACACAGTATCAATTAGTAATAATTTAATCTAATGTGAAGCTACACACCAACAACACACAGTATCAGTTAGTAATAATTTAATATAATGTGAAGCTACACACCGACAACACAGAGTATCAGTCAGTAATAATTTAATCTAATGTGAAGCTACACACCGACAACACAGAGTATCAATCAGTAATAATTTAATCTAATGTGAAGCTACACACCAACAACACAGAGTATCAATCAGTAATAATTTAATCTAATGTGAAGCTACACACCGACAACACAGAGTATCAGTTAGTAATAATTTAATCTAATGTGAAGCTACACACCGACAACACAGAGTATCAGTTAGTAATAATTTAATCTAATGTGAAGCTACAAACCGACAACACAGAGTATCAGTTAGTAATAATTTAATCTAATGTAAAGCTACACACCAACAACACAGAGTATCAGTCAGTAATAATTTAATCTAATGTGAAGCTACACACCGACAACACAGAGTATCAATCAGTAATAATTTAATCTAATGTGAAGCTACACACCAACAACACAGAGTATCAATTAGTAATAATTTAATCTAATGTGAAGCTACACACCGACAACACAGAGTATCAATCAGTAATAATTTAATCTAATGTGAAGCTACACACCAACAACACAGAGTATCAGTTAGTAATAATTTAATCTAATGTGAAGCTACAAACCGACAACACAGAGTATCAGTTAGTAATAATTTAATCTAATGTGAAGCTACACACCAACAACACACAGTATCAATTAGTAATAATTTAATCTAATGTGAAGCTACACACCGACAACACAGAGTATCAATCAGTAATAATTTAATCTAATGTGAAGCTACACACCAACAAAATACAATGTCACATCCATAACCATCTAACCTAAAGAGAAGCAAGACAATTCTCCATTTTCCAAGACAGTGGGGATCTTCTCCACATGGCCATGACCATAAGCATCCAGAGGGTAGGCAGGTCCACCATACTTTGGCACATCCAAACCTAAAATTAAACATTTAAAAAAAAATTAATTATGAACATGAAGGTGTGCTTCAGATAAACATATCAAAATAAATAATGCATTAATTTATAAGATTACTGGACTTTCAGCATTAGGACAGAGCAATTTTTTATTATCCCTAATTGTGTTGATATAATGATAATATATTTCATGTTATTTCACAACTTTGTCAGTCACAAAAGTTGACAACTGGAGATTACCACTTTTGCTCCCAAACAATGCACCACATGGGATTAGCTACTGTTTCACTGAATCAGGAAATGCACTGTGTTAACAATCAATACAGTTTTGATCGGAACATAATCTGGTACAATATATGCCTATTTAAAAGTAACATATTTATACTTTTAAAAAGACATAAACCTTATGCATACAAATAAACAAGGCAGGAGATTTTGTTAGGAACTACGATTCTATCTGGACAGCTATAATAGGAACTGAGATTCTTTCTAGACATCTGTGATAGGAACTGAGATTCTTTCTAGACATCTGTGATAGGAACTGAGATTCTTTCTAGACATCTGTGATAGAAACTGAAATTCTTTCTAAACACTGTGACATAAACATATTCTTTTTAGACAGATAATGATAGGAACTGAGATGTTTTCCTGCACAGCTGTGATAGCATCTGAGATTCATTCTAGGCAGCTGTGATAAGAGTGCACTCAGTATTGTACCTGCTATATGATGAGCATTCAGTAACCTTTAGACTATGTTATCTGATCATAATGTTCTGTTCTCATGCTTTTTTTTTTTAAATTCCTTATAATATTATGTTTGATTTTATCAAATGAAAAAAAAAACTGGAAACATTAAAAAGTTGCAGTACAAAATTCAAGAGAAGGACGAATTACAGTCTGAAAGGATACACAACCAGGTCAACAGACAGTGTTGAAGAACTATTGCAACCAACAGTCATTAGGGAGATATAATCTGAATGATTTATTGCAGCAATGTTCAACTGATTCAAAGATTTACCTTTTCTTTCAATTTCTTCTGGTACTCTGAAGAATCCAGTAATTTTCAAGAGTCCAAACATTATGCTACTTAGAACGCCAGTCCAAGCAATTATGGAGAGAATGCCTGCTAACTGCCAACCTAGTATCTAGAGAAAAGAATTCATAACATAATTTAATCAGAAAAAAAAAACTGGCTGTAGATTAAATTTTTTTTAAATATACTAAGTATTGTATCCTGAAGCGAGTTATGTGTCATCAGTGAGAATGCACTGTCTGCCAGGCCTGTGGCTCTATACCTCTTAGTACAAGCATTGCTTTTCTTTGGAGGTTTGCTTTCCTTAGTAATTTACTTTTAACAGTCTATCAGCAAGACAGAAGGTGTATGCCCTTCATTGCCTGGTTTTTCTTCTTTCACTTATCTAACATTAGAGACTTTCTCTCTCTCTCTCTTTCTTTCTACCATGTTTTGTCTTTTAACATTAGGTTTTGAAAAGTCATCTAGAGCCAACCGGCTTTACTGTGTGATACGTAGATGCTCGTTTTCACTGTTTCAAATATTCCATCTATTCATTGCTAGTGTGGGTGGCATCCAGTTATGCTTCCATTGCATCTTAGTGACAGGGCTCTCTGTGGTGTACTATCCTTTGGTAGTTTTGACACATGTCCAAATCATTTAATCTGTTCATGGATGACCCTACCAGTAGCAAAGATATTGCACGGATATTTAGGTCACAGGAACACACAAGCATGTTAACCATTTTATTGTAGACATATTAAGTAATTTGTAAGGCAATCTAAATTATGATGATGATGCTGTAAAGTTGGTCTCATCATCTTCTAAGCATTCACTTGATGTAAACTTTTGTGGAAAGTTCTGGTTATCTCTCCACTTCTGGCCTTTAGTCTTGTTCCAGATTTTGAATTCTGCATGCACACCCATTTTTCAGATCTACTTTTTTTAAATGCAGACTGTTGGTTTGTCCCTTTCCTGGCAGATTTGGAAGAAAATCCATAATTAGTTGCATTTTCAGATGTAACTAAGAGAGAGGCAGTGAGTCTATTCTCATTACCCATTAAATGTTTCTCAATAAAAAAAAAAGGTAACACTCATCTCAAAGTGTTTATAACAGTAAGGCTGAAAAACTGATGCATGAAAAAGTGACACTATTGCATAGAGTTGTGTACCACGAAATAAAAGCTCTATCTAGCATCTGAAAACTGATGTGTCACCGGCAAAAAACAGGGTCATTTACTTAATGAGGTAGAAAGGTTGTAGGAAAAGGCTAGACGCTTGTTGCGGATCGGAAGGTCGAGGGTTTGCTCCCTGGCGGAGACAGACTTTTTTCACAAATGACCTTGGCTCCAAGGTCGAGCCAGCCTTGAGTGGGTACCGGGTGCAGTCCAGGGAAAGTAAAGGCAGCCGGCATGATGCTGACCACATCACCCATCTTGTGCCGATTAGTCTATAAAAATATAGGTCTAGCCCTATATGCCCTATACGCCTAAAAACGTGGAAAAGGGCCCTTTACTTTTTTTTTTAAGTGAGGCAGAGTAGGTTAATATAACTGGATGGGACACAAGTAGGCAAGAAAGGTATCATGTAAATAAAAGCTAACATATGCTGTGTATCTTGATACTGAAAGACTTGAAAGATATTGATACTGTTGCATTTAGGTCAGAAATGTTAAGTTAGATTACAAATGTAAATCAATATTGTGTACTTACTAATCCTGATTTATAGTTCCAGTTACGGAGTATCCCATTTTCATAGTCCAAAAATGCAATAGAGAGAGTGCCCCAGACTCCTCCACCAAAGTGTACTAAAGAATAAGACATAATACAATGTTGCAAAAACAATTTTTCAAACGTTTATAGGCAGGATATGTCTTTCTCCGTTCTTTTAACATTCTGTACAAGTAATGTGTTTATGATGTATTTAAAACAATTTAGCTTTGTATTTTCCTTTTAATGTTTAAGTTACATTTATAAATATTGGTCTCTACTTCTTCTTTGTGTTCAATGGCTGTAAACACCAGAGGAAAGTTCTGAGTGTTTGTTTACCTCTGGACTGTAGTCTTGTACCAAAATCTAAGTGTTGCTTGCACATTCATTTCATTGATCCGGCTTATTTGTTTGCAGAATCTTGGTTTCTTGCCTCTGAGGCTTATGTAATCCGACTTTGAAGAATGCCCCCAATCAATCAACTTTCTAAGACATGCTTGTCGGGGAAGCAGTGGGTGTATTCTTGTTTTCTCCACAGTGGGACCCTGGAACTCACACGGCCAAGTTATAAATATTCAGTTGAAACCCCCAAAAATGCATCATGTATTTTCAAATTAAATTACGTTTATAACTTGGACTAAAATTTGAATTTTTAGCTGTGAAATATTATGATGCTCAGTATACCCTGCGTGTTGATGCTTCAACTGTGGTACTTATAAAAATTCTTGACTGGATTAAAATGATTAAACATTATACGTGGATAAGTTCAGAATGAGTTCCTGGTTTATTTCTATGTTGTTGAAAGCAATTTTATTTGTTATTTTTTTTTTTCATTTTACTTGTTTTTCTTCAGTTTTCTTGTCTAAATCAGACATTAACTTTTGCTTAAGTTAATATTACGTTACTTACATTATCATTTAATTTAAATGAATTTGAATTACCGTCTTTTTTCTTTCTTCTGTGTTCACCATTAAAAGAGCGGTTGATACACTGTGTTGAAGTTGACAGCTACGCTGAAATAAAATATCTGTGACTTTTGACCCAACATATATGATTTTAGAAAACTTCTGAATAGTCACCATAAAGACCATGCTTGTCTGGTTCAGTGGATCTATTCTTCCAACCATCTCCCTCCAAAAACTGGGTCCGGGAACTCACAGGGATTTCAATATATTAGAGGCAGCTTTAACAGATATCACTGCAGATGATTACCAGTGCACTTAAAGTGTTTTTGCAACTAGGAAAATGTGAAAGAAACAAAGAAGAGACAAATAATTACCAGCAATAGCATCGACTGGGTCATCAATTTTCAATCTCCACATGAGCCATGCTGTAAAGTTGAAAGACACGGCTGTAACCGCACCAACAATAATAGCAGCCCACGGTCTTAACAAATCACAGCCTGTGCAAATTGCCACCTGACATATGAAAACATAAATTTATCAGTGAAAGATAGAAAGTTAAGTATTTAGTTACTTTTTACATTTATCAATCAAATGCATTTAGCAGTACACATGAAAATACCACAAAAATTAAAGTAGGAGAGGGAAAGTTATAGAAAATCTAATAGAATTATAAGGTTTGATAAAGCCACGGCATACAGGAATGTGAACTGTCAATTAGGAATCAACATCACAGCATTTAGCACATTTTTGTAAGCGATCTATCCGTATCTTCAGCAGTTGCAGAGTTGCAGTTTTGACAGAACCAATAAATTCTGATTGTATCTTTCCCTTGAGTATTAAGCCCTGGCCTCATCTCCCAGTGATTCCTTGCAGCACCAGCTTACAGGAAACACTGCAAGTTGTCTGCCATGTGTGTGCAAATTCCATTTCAAAGATTTTCTTAGGTGAAGTGAATAGCAGTGATTTTCAATGGTAATGACAGTATATTCCATTATTCTAGCATAGTCTATCAAGTACATGATCTTTTCCTTCTTCTTTATGTCCTCCTTTACCACTATGTGTGTCGAGGTAGATATAAGGTTCTGCTTCAAGCTATTTTAGCTGCTTTGACCATAGACACATCGTGGTGCTGTAGAGTTTCTCTGATGTTAACCTTTCATCTTGTTCTTGGTCTACCTCTTGCTCTACATCCCTCTCCTCTTTTAGTATATGCCTTGTATGGTATAGCATCAGAAAGCACTCTCCAAGTGGGCAAACCATTTGATTTTCTGTCTTTATCACTCTAAGTCGCAGTCTTAGATTTGACTGAGGAATGCTTCTTGCATGAACAGCTGTATTCTGAATTGTCAAGGGCGATGGATCCCTCAACACTGTTCACTGAAATTAGCATTGCATTTTCTGGGTATTAGGGTTTAAAAAAAAAAATAGATAGGTGGCCAAGCTAGGGCACGCTTGGTTGCTTCACGTATTGTGATGCTGTTTAAGTCGTAGGCTGTCAGCAACTCCATCAGTCCATATTCTTTTAGGTCTTCTTCTGCCTCTTGATGTTTCCATTCTCATGTAAAGCTTATGGTATGAACATCACTGTATTCATTCTCCACAGGCATGTACAGTTTCTATAGCAGTTTTTGTTAACAGTTAATTTATTAAAATATGGACCAAGCACCATATGCTAGATACGTGAATGGGGTAAAGCGGATGTTTTACTTTTCATATTTTAAAAGAAAAAATTAACTTTAAGGTAAAACTTACCATGCCGGACAGGGAACCATTGACAACAAACATAACATTCCAGCTACGACCCAGAATTCCAATCCTGTTTAAAAAGTACAGAAGAAAACAGGTTCAATTTGTGTGAGAATCAAAATTCAAGCAGGTGCTTGGTGAACTAATTTAATGAAAAGAATGAATGATTGTCTAATATACAGTAAACTGTATTAAATATTCATTTGGAAGTAGTTAATTTATGTTTAACTTCATGTTTAGCAATTCAAACTCTCTTTCTTCTTCAGTATTCGCCCATAAGAGAGCACTTGGTATGTTGTGTTGCAATTTACATCTGGGCTGCCAAATCTGCACTTTTTGGCCCAACACATCCAATCTGTTGGTTATTTGTCTCTCAGTCAGAGGTACTCCAACTTTGTTGGAAACATCTTTAGTTTGGTGTTTTTATGACATGCTTATTATAGTGGGGTTGTTTTCTCTCAACACCCCCCCCCCCTACTTCCCTGCACACACACACACAGTGATGAATGATGTTCATATTATGAATAGAAAAAAATCTTTATAACCCATACATAAATAAGCCTGACCTCCTATTAATAGCCCATCCACTACGCAGTTGGCCTCATGAATGACCACAGCCTACTGTCTCATGTTCTGCCAATCATTTCTGAAGCTGATGTTCCTTTATCATTCTTCTATAAAATTGAATCCCTGCAGCCTCCACATAAACTATCACGAATCCACTGACAAACTACAGACATTTATTAACTGGAGCCTGTTGAGAACAGTGAGAATTAAATGGTATGATAGAATAACTAATGTTGAGCTTTGGGAGAGAACCAGATAAGTTCCAGTACAGCAAGAGGTGAGGAAAAGATGCTGGCATTAAAAAGGACACACACTGAGAAAACTTGAGAACAATATAACTAGAAGGGCTTTAAAATGGAACTCACAAGGACATAGAAATAAAAGTAGACCCACACACAAAAACTACACTAAGAAGGGAATTAGATAGCGGCATTAAAAAGATAAGGAATATATAGGGTCAGCTGAATGGGACAGAAAAGAATAGGATGACGGCCTGATTTGGCTGAGGGCCTATGCTCCATTGGAGCATTTCAGAGACTCTATTATAGGGAAATTTTTTTTCAACTCAAATGGCAAAATTATATATAAGGATATATATTCTTCCTACTGTGACATCTTTGGACATGCTATTCTACATTCGTTAATGACTTACTTATGAATAATCAAGGTGAGGTAAGCACAAGTAGCAGCAGACAACACCGTATTGACTGCAGCTAAACTGATAATGTCCCCATCCCCCGGGTTTGAGACAGACATCTGAGATCCACCATTAAAAGCCAGGAAGCCAATAAACAGAATCAAAATTCCCAAGGAAGCAAACTGTAATTGAGAAAATAAAGACAAAATATAAAAAAGGCAACCAATAGTATTTAATGATGGACATCTTTATCTGTTTTAACAAAAATATATACAAACTTTAATGAAATAGCAACCAGTCATTTGAGACATTTCTTTGCATACTATTTATTTACTTGCATCAACTCTGGAAAGTAGTCAGTGACGTCTGATGTGTCTGTGCTTGTATTTCAATTAAAATTATTTATTTAGTGTCTACACTTGTATGTCTGTGATCTACATCATCCACTTCTAATTAGGTAATACATGTGGACCCCTTTTAGTTTTGAAGGTCGTCCCTGGATCTCACACTTGTTTAATAGTCGTCTGTTTATTTTCTTTTTAAAGTAAATCGGGATGGGTGGGAAAGGGGGAGTGGGGCTTTAAGGTTTTTGTTTTGCTTGTGTAAATAGTATCATGGACTACATATTGATTTACAGTATCTACATAGCCAGTACAGTTGAAAATTCCATGCAATAAACTGCAGTTGTGTTGTTTGAATGTGTTCTGTGGTTAAAATGATGATATTCCCATAACTTCTCACAAAAGAGACAACAACTGTTTCTAGTCTTTGCAAATGAAACACACACACTGGGGCACAATATAGCAAGCATGTGCAGTAGATCCAACACAGAGAAAACATCCCTCTAATAATTTTCTAGGAGCGTGCAGGTAGGCACTCAAGGGAGCCTTGTTGTGCTCAATAATAATAATAGATTTAAGACTATGAACTAATTAGTATACACTATAGTTGGGAGGAGGGAGACCCATGGCGGATCGGCTAGACACTCGCTGCAGATCGGAACGTTGTGGGTTTGCTCCCTGGAGGAGCCTAACTTTTTTTCAAAAATGACCTTGGCTCCCAGGTCGACCCAGCCTTCAGTGGGACCGGGTGCAGTCCCAGGAAGTAGAGGAGGCCGGCGTGATGCTGACCACATCACCCATCTTGTACCGGTTGGTCTCTAAAAATATAGGTCTAGCCCTGTATACACTATATGCCTAAAGGTGTGGAAAAGAGTACTTTACTTTAAGTTGGAAGGGGCAATTGGGGAGGGGGGGGGGGGACTTAGTCCCATTGTAAATCTTCTAGGAGAGGGTTGTAAAACGTTTTGGTGTCATGTGACAGCCATATTACTCGACGAAAAGTTAACTTTAATAACCACCTAACGTATCATAAGCAATGAAATCAGTAGAGAAAGAAGATTATTATGGCCTGGAGAGAATGAGGCATCTGGGTGTAACCAAAGGGTCTGGCTGGCTGGCTCACTACACTCAGAGGAAAGGCAAGACGGACATATAACCAGATTGTGACTGGTACCATCAGTATTGGAACTCTGCGCTGGCTGCTGAAGATGACGACAGAGCATGCAAAGGAATGCCCTGAGTGCTTTGATGTCATTTCTTGACTCTACTCAGCCAACGTGTTATAACTTTTCATGTTAAAGCTATGTTTTTTTTTAACGAAAGCAATGTCCTATGTACTATCTGGGTATGTCCAAATGTAATCCTAACAAACTGACTATTACAATGAAAAGACTTCTTTTTTCATGCCACTTGGGCACATAATGATAAACTGTTATTTGTACAGACCAATCAATCTCTCTTATATAAAGGCTGCCTTTATTTCGCGGGACTTTACCTGGTACCCTCTAGGGCTGGGCTGAGCTAAGTCATTTAAATTGTGATGGGGGAGGGGGTGGGGGTCCCGATTGGGTCTGGATTCAGAGATTAGCGTGCCACTAACAATTAAATAACAAATAATTGTTAAAATGACTATGATAATGATTATGTTGCTACACTGCAAGGTTCTGCTTTCCCCAGATGATTCCCATGTTGTGTGTATTAGTTATCACACATAATATTCTAGGGAAGAAAACAAAGTCAAGAAGTTTAGTGGCGAACTTACCGTTAACGAATGGCCCCTCATTGGTAGCGGGTCTTTGCTATCAGGATGAAAGCGGCCTAAACGGGGTCCCAGGATTAAGGCACCGAAAAAGGACGCAGTTCCCCCAACAGCGTGGACAACACCACTTCCAGCAAAATCCTACAATAGAGTAAGAAAGAAAAAAAAACTGTTTAGTTAACCAGTTAACGTTTACCAAACAACCTTTAATTCATTCAGTCTAATCTAATAACTTTGGCTCCCAGATCGACCCAGCCTTGAGTGGGTACCGGGTGCAGTCCTGTGAAGTAAAGGCGGACGGCATGCTGCTGACCCCATCACCCATCTTGTGCCGATGGTCTTCAAAATATAGGTCTAACCCTATATACCAAATAGGCCTCAAAGTTGTGGAAAATGTGCTTTACTTAATTTTATATATCGACTTTTAGTGGCTGATGAGGTCGACATCCCTTTTCTTGAGAACAGAAGGCTTATTAATATCTTATCTTTCAGCCATCATCAAAAACCTTGTTTATTTCATGATTTGCACTACTTATTTCATGAATTATGCATTCTTTTTAAAATACTGTCTGTCTGTACGCTTATGTAATAGCCAAAATGTGGCTTGTGTAAATTTTAGAAAAAGTAATATGCCTGACACCAGTCAAACATTCTATTTAATCGTCTACTTTAGTCTTACGGAGCGTCAGCACTCGTGATCTCCATCTCATTATCTATCTAATTTGTTTATTTATATATGATGTCAAAGGATGTCGTTGATGTCCAAGGAAATCAATGATGTCCAAGGATGTCCTTGATGTCTAATGATGTCCTTGACGCCCAAGAATGTCCTTGACGCCCAAGAATGTCCTTGACGCCCAAGAATGTCCGTTATGTCCAATGATGTCCTTAATGTCCAAGGATTTCCTTGATGTCAAATGATGTCACTGGTGTCTAAGGATGGCAACTGCCATGCTGGTCGAACCAGTAGCCCTGCTTTTCGAACCAATACCTTACATTACTGTCCACTCTATTGTTGCGTTTTGCGTGACCTGAGGTTTTCAGGTCTCAATAAATATCAGACAGTAATTTAAAACAACACCACAAATCACACGCATTCTACACAGGCCAAACTTACATGATACTTAATGGTTACTGTAGAATTATCGATCATGTATTCCTGGCCGATGTACAGCCAGCCGAACGGCGACCATGCCCAACGACTCACAATAGGGTAAATGAAACCTAAAAAAAAAGTAGATGATGTTTATGTTATCAACAGTTTTAAATTACAGTAGGCAATTATAACGAACAGTGTATGCCGACTACATGTTTATTTTGCCTTATACATATTTATAGATGTGTATGTGTCGTCGTCTGTGGCTTAGGCGTTGCGAACGCGCTTCGTAGTTCTATAGTTCCGGGTTTGATCCCAGCTGCAGGCCTGGCGCCTTGCTTTGGTTTCGACAGTGGTATCCAGATGCCGACCGTCCAGGAAGCAATAGCAAACTACTGGATTTAAAATATGACTAGAAAAACCACAAGAGCCAATTCCGGTGTTGGTTCTGCATCGTCCTGTAAATAATACGCAACTAATATATATATATATATATATATATATATATATATATATATATATATATATATATATATATATATGTGTGTGTGTGTGTGTGTACACACGCGTACGCGCACACACACACACACGATACCAGCACCAAGGCTCTTTATTTTATGCTTATTTTTATGCTAAGTTCACCGGTGCAATTGTTTTGGAGATCCCTGGGGATCGTCGCCGGAGCTACAGAGTGCATACTTTGTGTGACGCTGTCGGCAGGCCTCTACGCGTTCAGAGGAGAGAGAAAGACCGAGCTACGTGGGATTAAACCCTGTGCTGTGAAGTCGATCCTCCCGACTTTAACTGTACCCTTTATACTGAGTGAAGTTTATGTATGTCTGTTCGGTCTACTGGATACAGATAAGTCCATACAGATTACCGAATTTTATTTATGTGTTCCATTTAGCCCCGATCATCATAAAATAATTTTACGTTTCACGGTTCCGAACCGGGATGTTCGAATATAGGGCGTTCTATCAGAAGTTCACTGACTGGCTTGTGGAATCCGAGGACATGTTGAGTCTAATCTGTGGTAGCCCTTTTGATCCGTACTGTTGATATGCGTAAGTTGATATGCCATTAACATACACATGCATATTAGTGAAGACATTAGACAAGAATCTGAATTTGCAACAAAGTTGTGGAGTACTGAGAATATGAGTAACGTGACCGTCACATCCGTGATGTAATCCACAACAGGACGGGAGATTATTATTTGCCGGCGGTGACATTTGAAATTTTTTTTAGACCCGTGTACTTTGTGGAAAGTGCATAAGAAAGCTATCTTTATATTATCAGTGAATACCTTGATGATTAGGTGCAGTAGACCCACAGCAAATTTTTTTTTCTCACACTTTGACTTTGAATTATAATGCATTGTTGTTCACTAATCTCTTGATTTTATTATTTCTCTTCTTTTTTTCTTGTTAGCGTTCACTGAGTGTACTCTCTCTCTCTCTCTCTCTCTCTCTCTCTCTCTCTCTCTCTCTCTCTCTCTCTCTTACTCTTGTTGTACCTGAAAAGGGCATCATACAAACGATAAACACCTGGTGACACAAAGTGCCACCATGCCGATGAGGATCACCCGTAGAAAGGTCCCAGAAACCCCTTTTAGCCGTGGTCCGGCTATATTGAAGGCCCCCGGTAAAAGCCAGGGTGTGGCTTCAAATAACGAAAAATTGCATCCCACAAGGGAACGACTTTTATATGTGACTGTAAACTTTGGAGGGAAATTCCAGTTCCAGAGTTTTGAGTCCATACCTCTTCTGGCAGGCGTTGATGTATTGCTTGCCAGCTGGTCCACTTGTTCGTTATCTTTTACGCCGGCATACCCTAGTGTGTAAATCCACGTTGGTTGGTTAGTTAGTCGACAGATTATCATAATCAGTCCATAAGTGCTGAGATGATCTTTTCAGTATCTCCCTCGGCGCGTAGTGGCTTATGACAGTAGTTCTGTGTTGTCTACTTTTCTTCTTTGGGGCCACGCGTAGCGCTCTCGTCTGGCTTCACCCCTATTGATGTTATGTTCGTGTAGTCTCATCAGTTTTGCAGATTCACAATCACTACTTAATTCGTTTAGTCGAGCTGCCTCTCAGATGGCATTCAGTATATCAACCATGTCCATTGTTCGTCCGTTTTCCACGTGAACATCGCTTGCAAGTCTGTCAGCTCGTTCATTGCCCTTTACACGAAAATGCCCCGGAACAAATATAAAGCTGATTTGTGTCAGCCTAGATCTATTCAGGGACTCCGCCCATTGTCTCCGTATGCAATCCTTCTGGAGCTTCTTGAGCCAGGTGAGGGTGGTTACGTGCGATGTTCTAAGTCCTTTTATCCTTGATGCTTGCAGCAGAGTTAAACCGGGCAAGTCACTGAGTTCATAACCGCTTAATCACAGACGCGAACCAGCAAAGGCTGATTCCTTTCAATCAAAACCTGAATCCACCCACACTTGACAGCAGGTTATTGTGTAATCGTAAGGTAGTCCGAAATCCCTTATAAACAGGATTTCTAGGGTTTGTTTATCTCGTGTTCACATCGGAATAGTAGCTTCTTAAGTCACATCTAGTCAATGAATCTTACAATACCATGGGTCAAGACGAAGTAAAACACCGACATCCTACATAATCTAAGCATCCAAGATAAGTAAAAGTAAAGTAAAAGTCCCGTTTCCACGCCTATAGGCGCATAGGGCACATAGGGTTAGACCTTTATTTGTATCCACCAATCGACACAAGATGGGTGATGTGGTCAGCGTCACGCCGGCCGCCTTTACTTCCCGGGACTGCACTCGGTACCCACTCAAGGCTGGGTCGACTAGGGAGTCAAGTTGATCTCTGAAGAAAGTCCGGATGTGCCAGGCAGCGAACCCACGACCTTCCGATCCGCACGCGAGCATTTAGCCGCTAGACCACGATGATTCCACAACCAAGAGAACTGGCTATGAAACAGCATCCTGTCACGAAATCTGAGGTATGTTGGCTATTGTAAACATCATGGTGGCTGAAGGAATAACAAAGCAATGATACAGTTTCCGGAAGAAGAAGAAAAAAAAACGAGGCGTAGGCAGACCTCCCCGAATGTGGATACAAGACAATGAAGACGCATTAACTAGGAAAGCATATTAGGCTGGAGAATTTGAAGAAAAAAAAAAAAAAGAAACTCTCTGAAAAGGACCTGCTGATTAACGAGGAGATGAAGATGAATTGTCAATGCTTCTAGTTGCAACCCCGGATTAAAACAACAACAACAACAACAAAAACATCAACAACAACGGCAACACTAACATCAGCAGCAACAACAAATATTTGTTAATCAAGGAAACACGAAGTGCACTCACCAGTAATGACAAAGCTGTAGACCAGATAAGCAACCATCTCGCATCTCTCCGCCACAGCTCCGGAGACTATGGTAGACGCCGTTGACGCAATGACGAATTCGTAGAAGAAGTAGGCAAATTTGTTACTAGGCAGATCGGAGGTTGCGAAGTGGTTCCAGCCGATAAACTCGTTCCCTTCGCCGTAGGCAAATGCATAGCCCACCGTCCAATAGGCAACACCAGCCACGACTGGAATAAGAAGACAAGAACACACGGTTACACTTTTATCAGTTTATTGTAATCAGTAGCATGTATGTCTCTTTGATGTAACCTGCAATTACAAGGAAACAATTACTAAAAATCCTCATTCATTCAGTACCTTGTGCGCAATTTTCCACGGCGCCCTAACCTAATTAAAAAACGACTATTCGTGTCTTCTTAAATCAATTATGAAGCCTTACAATATTTCGCGGCGCCGTGTAAAGAGGTCGCGGCCCCCCGGGAAATCACTGATTTAGTTAATTGATACGATAGTCGCCAGTATGGCGTTTTGGCGGTGAACTAAACAAATTCAAGTTAATCAAGCGATGAAGAAAAGCCTAAAATGGATATCAGATAGTGTCCTGGGAAGTAAGGGCGGCCGGCATGATGTTCATCACATACCCCCCCCCCTCCCCCACCCCACTGGAGAGCGTTAGCGTTTTTCTGCATAAATGCATTCTTAATATTAGCGGCAAGTTTACACATCTAATTTTTTTTTTGGGTAATATAGTACATACTTAAACTAATAAAGCATCGCGCCGTGTGCCAAACGGTATATAAAAGTATAAGGTTAACAAACTTTTTTTTTATTCGGATCAGTAGTATGTTTTTACATTGTTTTATTATCCAGAAAATTTCTATCGGAACACTAGATTATACCGGTATTTCGGGTGAAATAAATTATAAAATCGAACACACTCTCTTTTCCTGTTCTCGCCCCCACCCCCTCTCTCTGTCTCTCTTTATCTCTCTCTCTCTCTCTCTCTCTCTCTCTCTCTCGATTTTCAGTTAGCGAAGTGTTTAATAGTACATCCAGTCTATGTAAACGCGGACGTTTTATTCTTTCTTTCGCCATGGGTCGCGACTGGGGTATTTAATCTGTGTATGATCATACGTGCATAACAGCACACATCATTATTGTATAGTCAAGCACAGACCATACGAATGGTTAACTCACAGGGTTCTTTGGCGGGATAACACAGCTCGAAACCCCCGATATGGAGATAGCGGGTTTTTTTTTTTAATCAGGGAAACAAACATCTAGCCTGCACAGTAGGTGGAACTATGCACAATTTATGCGGTCCCTAATTGTTCGCTGCCCCCCCCCCCTTCCCCCCTACCCGCACCACGACAGAACCCCCTCTCCTATATAGCCCAAAGAAGAAGTAAACATACACACTTAAACAAACATATTTATGAAACAAAGAACATTTTATGCAGTAAATCCAGGTCATTGGAGGTTAGAAAAGGACTTCTCTCATGCTATTTAGAGTAACTTAAAACATAGGGCAGTGAATCCCAGAGAATTAAATTTACAAAGCCAAAGTAAGTTCTTGAGGTCTCAGCGATGTGGTTTACAGAGGAATAATTAGAACTTCTTGGATAGCCAAGTAGAGCAACCCAGGCGAGGACTCGAAAGCAACTGAACACAAACATCAGAAAGAGGCGAGGACTCGAAAGCAACTTATCACAAACATCAGAAAGAGGCGATGACTGGAAAGCAACTTATCACAAACATCAGAAAGAGGCGAGGACTCGAAAGCAACTTAACACAAACATCAGAAAGAGGCGAGGACTGGAAAGCAACTTAACACAAACATCAGAAAGAGGCGAGGACTGGAAAGCAACTTATCACAAATTTAAAAAAAAAAAAAAAAAAGCGAGGACTCGAAAGCAACTCATCACAAACTTCAGAAAAAGGCGGTCATCATTTTGTTGCTCAAGTCATGAGAAAAAGAAACTGGAAAAATTGTGACCGCTGGACAAATCTGTGGGAAAAAAAGAGACAGAGGAAGACAACGCAAAAAGATTGTTGACAGGCTTTGGTCACGGCATGGAGGGGTGTCCACACACGAACTGACTTCTTCTTCTTCTTCTTCGATCCTTCTGTCAGAAAACTTATATCAGGAGGCCGGTAGCCTTTATGAAAGCTATCGTGCAAACCATATCGTCTTGTGTACATGTTGTCAGAGATCGCAGATTGTGAAGAGATACGATCACCCAAACCAGTGAGCAAGACATTTGATGATAATGATAATGATGATGACGATTATACAAACACACAACTGTATACGCAGAATATGGTTTTCCCATTAAAATTTTATATTGCTGGCATATATATGTATAGGGATATGCCCGGCCCACTGGCTAAGTTGGATAAACCAGCTGCGTTGTGACCCGTGACAAACTCCGTGTGGTCCTAGTTCGCGCTCAGGGGTAGGCAGAAAAGCGACATAATCTCCCAGAAAAACAATATCTGTCATAGAATCAAAGCCGAAGGGTTGCAGTATCCATAGTACCGAGCCAAAAAGTTTACAACTCATGGGTTCTGGACACACACACAAACACACACACGCGCGCGCGCACACACACGCACAATCACACATACACAAGAATAAGTGATTCAGAATACTTACAAGCATCAAGAACTGTTTTCATCAAGATACTGCTGACGTTTTTGCTTCTCACGCATCCGACTTCAAGGAAAGCAAAGCCGCACTGCATCACTGTCATTTAACAAACGAAATTACCAATGTATTTTATCATCATCATAAACAACTTCTATCGTCAAGCACCGTGGTCAGGAACGATCTGCGAACTAGTTTGTGCACTGGCTATTCGTCATGATTGCAGGCGAAACGTGTCTTTAATGTTGTCAATCCATATTTCTCGTGGCTATCTTCTTGCTCTAGAAGCTGATCTTCTGAGACGCAGTGCCTGCGATAGTATTTCATATTGCTGAATTCTAACGAGATGGCTAAATCACTTGATCTGCTGTTTCTCGATGAATCTGGTACGAGGTGTCGTTTACATAATCTGTCTAATAGTATTGTTAATCGCTAGATCTCAGATGGTTAGGTTGCGGCTTTTCTCAGGCTTTTCATCTCGAAAGTGGTGATTTGAATGTACGTTATATAATAAATAAACATACAACAATGAATATCTAGTTATCTTCGGCACGGAGCTTAAATATTTAATATGTTTTTTTTTTCTTTAAATGAGAGAGAGAGTGGCATGCTTTCTGTGTCATTGTCGTTGTGAACATGCTTCCTAATGCAGGGGTTTCGGTTCGATCCTAGTTGCATGCGATTTGGCAACAGCAGACCCGCTTGTGTTGGTTTCGACAGTGGTATTGTAAGCCGACCGTCTGGTCAAGCAGTGGCAAACTACTGAACGTATGTTTGCCTAAAAAATCGCTAATAGCTGGAAAAAGGGGGGGGGGGGGGCGGGGGGGGGGGTGGACTTAATGTTTCTGCAACGTTCTGTAAAAGACACAACTAACTTTCCTTTTAATGAAATGTCAATGAAATTCCCACTAGAGCAGTGTAATAATTTGTGGTTTGTTTGCATCGTTCTGAGGCAGATCTAAAACTAACATTTCATCAGAAAGAGACTGACATTACTCTTGCCATAGCATGAGAAGCGGCAAAATTATTTTGAATACTGGAAAATTCCTTAGAAAAAGAAGTATAGACAAACAGGGGGCAAAATGATTCTAGACTGTTAAAGGCACTGAGGAAAATAATTGATTTAAAAACACAAGGAGTCGAAATCAGTAAATATCTATTAAAATAAATGCCGTGTGGCAAATACATAGTGATGATAATGCTTCTAGTTAATATAGATAATGTGTAAAGTAAGTAATCTTTTTCTACCTAACGACAACAGGATAAAAAAAGACTACAGTGCAAAGTTCATGTTGTTTGTAAACTTTTGGTTATTGGGCTTGTTCATGAAATTGCTTCTTTGGACTGGTTCCTGAAATTGCTTCTTTGCGTGAACATTCACTTTACAGATCTGGTTTATTTGTTTGCAGGTGTATATTTCCTTCTGAGACCAAAGGAGGCCGCCTTGATCTGGCCGCTAGAGGTTCGCCTACTGATCGGAATATTTTGAGTTCGGGTCCGGATGGAACCAAACTTTTTTCAGAAATGATCTTAGCTCCCAGGTCGACCCAGCCTTAAAAGGGTACCCACGTATAGTCCTCTTAAGTAGACGCGGCCGGCGTGATGCTGACCACATCACCCACCGAGTGCCAATTGCTCTATAAAAAATAGATCTAGACTTTTATGCCAAATACTCCTAAAGGCGGGGAAATGGGCCCTTATTTTAAGTTTTTCAGACAAATGCATTAAGACTTTGGAAAACACAGCCACAAATAGCTTCTTACGGCATGCTTGTTACGGGCAGTGGTATTTGTTCCCCCCTCCCTCTCCCCCACCCTTTCCCTCCAAAAATAATGGAAACCCCGGGGAGAAAGGAGGAATAAAAGTATTATGAGTTGGTACAAGTTTATATAAGCTTAAACGTGTGAACTTACATTGAATGAGCAGAGCCATCGTCATGAGAAACACTTGGTCCATTGTCTCCTGAAATGGAGTCTTCCCAATTCCGGTGCCATTTCCCACAATGCTGGTTCCTTGTGTCATGATTACGTCGAGGGCTCCTGCTTATTCAGTGGGTGCACCTGCACAGCAATACAGCAATGATACGTTAATTAAGAAGGTCAACAATTAAATGTATACGGTTAATAATATTCTTGCAGCTCAAAGTTTAGTTAGGTTTAATGTTTAATTAAGAATCAACACCGCAGCACTCATCACATTCACACAAGCGCCCCGTCCTCATCTTTTGCAGTAATCTCTAGTTCCAGTACTGATGGTAATAGTAACAGTCTGATTGCATATCCGTACGCAATTCCTGAATGTCGGCTAGATCCACTGGACACGCGTAATTTAGTTAAGTTTGTTGTTGTAAACCTGTGCTACAGCACAAACAAACAGTTTATTAAGTACACATTCAGACAGTAAGCATTTATCCTCGCCGGTGCAACGGAGCTCGTGTCCTGCGCTTATAACCTTGGGACTCTGGCTTGAGTTAGAGGTAGAAGGGAGCACTTATGGGTTACATCCATGTGCCATGATGTTGATCCGTCGGATAAACATATATAAACATATGTTGCCTGTAGCAGCGTACGGAAACTCCGATGAAAAGATTTAGTTGTTCTTCCACCTCCAGACTGCAGCCCTGTTCGAGAACCTGAGTGTTGGGCGCACACCCGTTTTACAGATATAGCTTTTTTGTATGCAGACTGTTAATTCCTTGCCTGTCAAGTAGATGCACACCGACTCAGAAGGATGCCCACCAAAATGTCGACTCCTATGACATGCTTGTTAGGGAGGCAATGAGTCTTTTCTTGTTTCTTCACCGCCCCCAACCTTTCCACAATGGGAAGGTCATAAACTCTTCACAATCAGTATAGAAGAACACCAGAGAGCAGAGGAAGCGTAACCGCTAGACGCTCGGCTACCGGTCCGAAGGTCTAGGGTTCAAATCCGCATCGAGGCGGATTTTTTTCATCTTTAAAACTGACCTAGGTTCCCAGCTTAACTCAGTTTAAAGTGAGTTGCCGGTAATGTCCTGGCAAGCAAAGGAGGTCGAGTGGTGTTGACCGAAACACCCATCCAGTACCGAGTAGTGTATACAAATACGAGTTTAGCATCATATTCCATTACCCTACTGGCATAAGGAAAATTCCTCTACTTACTGAATAGTCTGACTCCATACGCATAAAACAATGTGGACCACAAAACCAGGCATATTTGAGTATTAGAAAGTACAGAATCATTCTCCACGCCCTTAGGAATATTGGGTACATAGTGGCCATGTAACAAAATTGGCATCAGACAGGGCACCACAGAGAGCAATCTTATACAGATACAGTGGAAACAGAGCTAGAGGTCGACCACGCAGAAATGGACCGCAGAAATATCGGCAACCAGCCGCATTTACTTCCGAGGACTGCAGCTGGTACAGACTCAAGTCTGGGTCAACCTGGAAGCCAAGTTTAATTTTAATGGAAAAAAAAACCACCAGCTCCGAAAGGACCCGAACCCACGACCTTCTGATCCGCAGGAGAGCGTCTAACAGCTACACTACGGTGACTCACGACTAAGTGAGTGAGCATTTTAACACGATGCACTGAATTAAAAAAAAAAAAAAAAGATCGTTACTTGGCTACTGGTGACAACTTAAAGGGATAACAAATAGGCAATATCTACAGTCAAACCACATTGGAAAAGGTTATAAAAGATGTGGGGATAACAAAAAGGCAATAAATACAGTCAGACCACATTGGAAAAGGTTACAAAAGATGTGAGAAGTCAAACTCATAAAATACACCAGGATGTGTGAGAACAAACTGATTAATAAAACTGGCATATAAGAAAAACAATAAAATTAGGTGCATTTTTTTTTATAGCGTGAGTTTGTTTTGAACAGCACAGACAAGGAAGAATCGTTACAAAGTTCTAGAGCTATACCAAGAATTAATTACTGCCAACTGCCAATTACTGCCTTTGTTTTACCACTTGTTGCGGTGCAGGCAGGGGGGTCTTTCAGCTTGAGAAATAACACCCGCATGGCTAGGGTTGTCGCCACGGCTGGGTAATTGGGGATTTTATTTTGCCCCCAACAGAAAAAAATCCGCCGCAGCCTTGCCGAGGATTCGAAGCTGGGTCTACGGTTGCGGCCAGATGTCTTATGTTGGTTTCGACAGGGGTACCGAGAGCCAACTACTGGCCGTAAAATTTGCCTAGACAAATCACAACAGCCAAACAATTATTTGGCTTGTTCTGCAACGTCCTGTCAGGGTTAACCACTAATGTTTTTTATACGCTCTTGCTACGTAACAAATTTAACTTACTTAAGTAATCGGCAGTGACATGGTACAACAAATTAGTGACCTAATCCACCAAGAGACGAAAACATTAATACAATCTAATATCCAAGAAAGGTTGCTGGAAACACAAACCAGATTCTCTCCTCAAGACTTGCTTTAAAGCTTCTCTAGAGAGGGACAGTGTATTATATTCAGGCTAAGGACATTGCACAACAGACTTCGTCCACATATGTTTAAACTGTTCGGTGTGGGAAACACGGAGACGTGTCCCTGCAGCGTGGCACCCGAAAATGTTCAGCATGTGTTCCAACACTGTCAACTGTATGCTGACAACAGGAACGCAATCTGGCCTCATCCAGCTACAATGAAGATAAAACTGTATGGTACACGAGGGGATATGTACTGCACGATAGCTTTCATAAAGGCTACTGGCCTCCTGATATAAGTTTTCTGATAGAAGGATCACAAAAGAAGAAGAAGACTAATAAAAAGAAAAAATTACATATATACAATTTAACCACCCTGAGAAATTGGAAATAAACTATAGAAGAAGTGAGTAATCCAATTTACAGATTACATACGACTGTTACTCTCTTCTTCAATGTTTATCCCTCAAAGGACGGTTGAATCAGCGCTGTGGTTTACAGCAGAGCAGCGATATTTGCACCATTCGTCATAACACATTGATTTCAGGAAAGCCTTTAAAAAGTCACCATTTAAAACATACTTATTAAGGGGCAGTGGATCTATTATGCCACTTGCACTTACGGGGGAGGGGTGGGGGTGTAAGAACACACGCGGGGTTGTGTCTAGTGAGAACTGAGTGAGTGAGTTGCACACTCTCTGATAACGTGTAAGTGAAACGAGAACAATGTTTGCACGTGAATTGTCCGTAGAAGGCTTGTTCATAGCATATACAGGAATTTTGAAGTTTGAACAAAGGATCAACACGGGTAGTAACCCATAATTGCTTCGTTCTTCTTCTAACTCAAATCTGAGTCTGAAGAAGTTCAGCACAGTGCACAGGCTCAGTAGCACCGGCGGGTATCCTGAAGTACTTTGGGTAGATTTTCAACTCCAAATTTGTGCCCGGGCAGAGCCGTTAGGCAACTCTTTTCGACTTCCAACTGCAAAGAGATTTTTTACGTGCGCAACAATTCACACAGGCGTCCGATCTCACTACCCAGATACCGGGGGGAATTACTAGAAGTCCCAAGTCCACGTGAAAAAATCCTTACCCTTACCGGGTATTGAACCCGGAACCTCAAGCACTCGAGGCCGACATCATGCCTCGAGACCATGCATTCAAGAGTGAGAACTAGTAAGAACTGAGTAAGTTAGTTGTACCCTCTCAGATAACGTGTAAGTGAAAGGAGAACCATGATTTACACGTGAATTGTCCGTAACATGCTTGTGCACAGGAAAAGATGGTTAGAATTTTCTGCTCCCTGTGTGTTCAGGGGCCCTATTATACAGAAAACAAGAATAGACACACTGTCTACCCAAAAGCATGTCGTGAGAGTCGACTAACTGGGAGCTTTTTTCAAAGTCGGAGTGCATCTGCCCGAGAGGCAAGGAACCAACAGTCTGCATACAAATTAGTCAGATCTGTTAAACGAATGCCCACGCAACACTCAGGTTCTGCAACAGGAGTGCAGTCAAGAAGTGGGCTTTCCACCAGAGTGGGCGCGAAAACGAAGAAGTTATGCATACAGTATACATTTACTCGCTACCCAACAACACGACTAGAAGCTTAACATAGAACAGTGCAATATTATCATTTTTGTATGTACAGTATAAAAAAATATATAACTAATTGCAGTTAAAACTCATACATACACAAGACATAGTGTTGGCGAGAACTAAGTGTGTGTGTGTTGTATACTGAGAGTAAGCACATAAGTGAAATCAGAATCATGTTTTCAAACAAAACAAAAACAAAACACAAAAAATAACGAATTCCTGAAACTTGCTTAAAAATTTGATGATGTACAAAATGATATTGGGTAATTTGGAAGGTTCGTCTTGTGTAATCAAAAATCGAAATATATTCAGGCGCACAACTCCGTGCGAGCTTAAGGCAAATAATTAATATGAACTAAATAAAATAGTTACTAACATGTAAAATAAACTTTAGAAGTAATTTTAACAATAATATCATACTCAATCCTTTAGGGCTTTAATGACATTTATCTCCCCCCCCCCTCCCTCCCCCCCCTCACCGGACAAATACATTTGGCTATTTAATGCTGCGTAGATTTCATAAATACTACTTTTTTGATAATTGTATATTAATATGGCATTAATCTATGAGTAAAATTAGAGAATTTGAATCCGTAGCTTCGATAATTAATATTTTGCTTTGCAGTTCCCTTTGTAGAATGTTTTTTTCTTTCTTTGAAATTGTAATAATAGGTTGAAAATACAATTTTAAAACATAAAAAAGAATGTTAAATGTCAAATTCTGTAGCAATTATAATAGGAAATACCTATAAAAAGTGAACTTTCAAAGAAAGGGAAGTTAAAACATCTCTATACTGCTTTTGTACAAAACAGCCTGGTCTGAGGAAACGATTTAACTGAGCTCACTTTAAACAATTATTAAGTCTGACAGAATTTTATTTTTCCAAGATTGTTTATGAACATTTTTTTAAATGATTTATTTAGCACTTACAGTTATTTTATGTCAGATAAACATCAATTTCAGACGGTGCAAAATGATAGTTAAAGCACAAAGTACTAGTGTCC